AGCTGCAGGATACAAGACTGATAAACAAAAAAGAACTGTAATTCGACAGACGAGGCACCAACATTCAGAAATTTAAATGCCACTGATAATATCGTTAAGAAAAAAAGGAATACTCAGGGATAAATGCGACAATAGCTGTATGAGACCTATACACTGAAAACTTCCAAACACTGCTGGGAGAAATTTTAAAAGACCCGATGTAAAGAGGGAGACATGGATCTGGGGCTCAGTATTGTGAAAATGTGAGTTCTCCCTAAACTGATCTGCAGACTCAATTACAACCTCAATCAAAAACTCAGGCGCTTTTTTTTTTTTTGGTAGAAATTGACAAGATGGTTTGAAAATGCACACTGAAATGCAAAGGATCAAGAACAGCCCAAACAACTCTGAAAATAAATAAAAACATCCAATGAACAAGGTGAAGGACTACTACTACCTGACTTCAGAACCTACTTCAAAGTTATAGCAATCAAAACAGTGTGGTATAGATGTTAAGTTACACAAATTGATCAATAAAACCAAGGAGAGTCCGAAAATAGACTCACACATACATGGCCGCCTGATTTTCAGCAAAGGCTGCAAAGGCAATTAATTTAGTGGAGGAAGGATAATTGTTTCATAAATGGCGTCGGAACGAGTAGATACTCCTATATTACAAACAAAAAATAACTTTCATCCATATATTGTGCCATATCAAAAAAAGAAAGAAAAAATTCAAAATGCATCGGAGACCTAAATTTAACATCTAAAACTATAAAATTTCCAGAATATAGGAGAAAATTTGGAGGACTTAGGGTGAGGCAAAGAATCTTACATATAACACCAAAAGCATAATTCATATAAGAACAAATTAATAAACCGGACTTAATTTTAAACTCCCGAAGCTGGAAAAACAGTGTTAAGAAAACGAAAAACAACAAGCCATTGACTGGGAAAAAATACAGGCAGATCACCTATCTGATTAAAAAAGAAAAACCTCGTATCTAGAATATATAAAAGAACGCTCAAAACTCAGTAATCGAAAACAACCCAGTTTCAAAATAAATAAGATTCGAGCAGATACTTCACTAAAGTAGACATGCTGATGGCAAATAAGCAAATGGAAAAATACTAAACAACATTGGTTATTAGGGAAATGCAAACAGAAACCTCACTCAGATACTCCACGCCTACTCAGGCAGTTAAAATTTTAAAACCCAACCACATCAGGAGGCCTTGCTGCCTCTCTCTGCCATCCGAGGACATAGCGAGAAGGCACCTGCTGTGGTCCGAATGCTTGTGTCCCCCTAAAATCCACTTGCTGGAAGCCTGACACTCAGTGACAAAGGTGATGGAGGCGGGGCCTTCGGGAGGTGCTTTAGGCATGGGGGTGGAGCCCTCGTGCAAGGAATGGAATCGGCATCCCATAAGAGAGGCTCTGGAGAGATGCCGAGCCCCCTCCCCCATTCAAGACGTCTGCCACCCCGAAGGGGCCGCTCACCTAACCATGCTGGCACCTTGACCTTGGACTTCCGGCCTTCAGAACTGCGAGATACATTTCTGTCGTTTATAAGCCACGTGGTCTGGGGTAACTTTGCAGCAGCCCAGACTAAGACATTTAACCGTCAGATCCAGCCAGTCCACTCCTAGGAGTTAGTCACCCAAGAGAAAAGAAAGCAGGTGTCCACACAGCGACTGCTAAGGGAATGTCCTGAGCAGCTCTCCTGCGACAGCCCAGACCGCGAACAGCCCGAATGACCACCAACAGGTCCTTGGGTGAGCGAACAGGCACATCCACCCGGCGAACGTGACTCAGCAATTAAAAGGAACGAGCGACTGATACACAGCACGACAGTTTGCGGAATGAAAGGAGACAGATCTAAGGACAGCCATCGTAGGATGCCATTTCCGTAAAACTCCAGATAATTCTAAAGGGACAGAAAGCAGGCGAGGGGGTTGTGTGGCGATGGGGGGG